GCAATAGCCATGTGGGCAGCGCTGTGTCATATGCCATAGCTGTGCACAAGGTGTTTGCCACAGCTCCAGACTTATTTGTTCATTAATGACGAATGCAGCAAAAAATGAAATCACTTTAAAAAAATCAGAAGTCGTTCAACCCCTAATACATATATATATATATATATATATATTATTATACCCGTTTGTGTAACATAATCACTTGCTGCTGCTGACTGATGTTATAAATGTTACTCATTAAAGATATTTCTGACCTTTTTATAATCTGAAAAAAAACAAGAGTATGGAAGAAACTAATCAAGAAAATTAGTGTCAGCAAATGAATATTGTGTTCTCTGTTAAGGACTTAACCATGGCATTGCGGCATGTTTTGCCTCTAGTATCCAGCGCCCATCTCTAGACAATGCTCTCACATTGTGCCAGTGCACCCAGGGCGGCCATTTTGTTAGCGTTGTGCCAGGAGAGTGGTAGGGAGAGTGCCAGCGACTGAGGATTTGGTATCAAACCCTCTTTGTCTGCTTGCTGCATGCCTTTGATTCGTTAGTTGGCATCCGCAATGCAGTGGGCATGGAGGAAAGTTTCCTGATGGCAGCGGAATAGCAGTTGACATTATTCACATTTATAAAATCCAGCAAAATAAAACCCAATGTAAAACAAAAGGAACATCTTTACCCGCATCACAAAGGAAATTGTGGTTGTGGTCCCTGGCTGTGAACTGAAAAGTAAATTGTGTTCAGTGATTTTCATGTCTTTATGTCAGCGAAAGGTCCTTTGTAAGGTGACTGCAAACCATGTTCTATTACATTAACTGTTTTACATTTTCACAACTACTGTTGTTTGTGTACAATTTGTAATTGATTGCGTGTTCTGGTTAAAATTTTAAGGTGTTTATACTGCTAGCCACAGCACCTGGTATCTGTAGGGACATCACACAGTTTGCCTTGGGTTTAGGCTGACTCGCCTGCGTTTGTAATAGCACCTTAGTAAATGCCCAGCTGAATACCCATTGAAAAGGTGGTTGAGAGGACAGGAATGAGGGGCGACAGGCTTGTTGGTGGGCATCGTGCCATGCCCTGCCTCTGCACTTCACCAAGTCTGGCCATGCCATTGTGCCTGCGCTTCTACAAGTGCTGTTCAGCTCCATTCTCTCGTCAAATAATTCTAACATTATCCAGATCAGTTATTCTCTGTGAAAACAGTTCAGTAGAATTCACTTTTGATTATTTGCATTGCTAGCAAATGAGACAGTAATGAGGAGAAGATATTTTGAATTCTGTGATTGTCCACATTGGCCCCTGCAAATCAAACCTGTTCATGTGAAGTGATGCTTTTTTCACTTCAGAACTCAAATCATAACTCTCATTTACCAGCCTCCTTTTAGACAGGGACAGATTCCTAATAGCTTGTATTAGGAATAGCAACTTTGTTTTTGAGTCTGTTGCATTTTATACTGTACACGCTTTTATCCTAACAGTGACTAGGCAGAAATAGATTTAAAAAGGGACCAGCTGGTTTATATCAAGCGAGCATTTTTCATTTTAACCCAAGCTATTTATTTTCCATCCCATGCTGGAATATGTTCACAACCTTTATCTCAGTGTTTACACTATCCTAAACATATGACATTACACAAAACCTAAAAAATGCCAGTGTAAATTAAGTGCTGGTTCAAGCCTCTAATAAATATTTACATTGGTCTGGCAGTTGGTTTGTTTCAAACACCTAGCTGTCCTTTTGTAAAGCTAAATAATTTAAGAAAATTAATTAACATTTAATATGTAGATTTTACTTTTTCTTACGGTTTCCAGTTATTGAACAACCAAAACAAATTGTCGTGCTTTGTGCAGGCACAGCAAGAGTTACTCAACAACTGGAAGGTGTTACACAATCACAAGAGCTCAATGTATCAATAACAGTGTGAACTGAAGGTGCTGTGATTTCCTGCCCCAAACTCCCCAATGTTTATTTTGGTCCCTTGTGAAGTAGGCAGTGTTTTATTGGCTGCTTTTCTGGTGTCGGCCGGATTATTTCTCATTTGTTCTAGCATGTTAAAGAGTCTTGTTTTACGACTGCAGGACATAGCTTTTGCCCCTGGTGTCAAGACCTTGCTAAAGATGCGGAAGGTGTCACGTGAAGTTTAATTGAGCACAACAGATCTTTGAAAACAAGGTGGCAGCCTGCGGCACGTGGGGACAGGCCAGGGGGTCATTTCAGGGGGCACCTGGACCCCCAGCTTGCTCATGACATTTGGATGCCTGCGTCAGTGGAGCGGTTGCCAACTCCTTGAGAAGAGCTGGTCATTCATCAAACTCCCTCTCTCAACTTGCCAGAACCCCCAACACACAAATACACACACACACTGAGTTCCCTATTGGGCCTTTATTAGCCGTGTGTGTGCGCACTGTAGAAGAGCTGTTTGCGCCTAGTTTTCCAGCTGGCTGAGTATACGGCAGGGTCAGGACTAGCCACATGACCTAGAGGTTGTCACCCCTGTCGGTGACTAAGTACAGATTGTGGTTTCTCCACTTTTCACTTTTTCTTGCTGTCTGTCTCCTCCTATATAATTCACTTTGTCTCTGATGTCCACATACATGGAAAGTTAGACCAGAATTATTCTTGAAACCACCATGTGATTTTGCTTCCTGATTAAGGGCACTAGAGAAAACTCTGATGGAGCACTGGACAGTTTGTGTAATTTTATTGTGTAAGCATAAGAGGTATTTAGGGTTATGGCAAGATTTTAATGTCATGAGCAAGATTTTAAATAAAACCAAAATACAGCACATTGGATTTGTATCCATTACACAGCCAGTGTAGTCCTATTCCTGAATAAACAATTCTTATGAGTCAGTTTTTTTTAATTGAGTCAAACACCCAACGTTTGTGAGACTTAAATCTTCCTGCTTGTTCATATAACAGTGTGTAGTTAAAAGTGCACATTCTCCTGAGTAATAGTTTATAAAAATAAATGAATAAAATATGTTACCACATTTTTGGTTGTTTAATATATAGTAAAGGACAGTATTGACATGTATTGATGGTGTCTTTAAAAATGACTTTTTTTAAAATGCACCTTTTGTGAGAACTGATTTAAATGTGTTTTTATTGAAATTATCTTACAATTTGACTGTGGAATTGTATTTCTTTTTCTTTTTTTTTCCCTGAAACAGTTACTTTTTACAAGTACTAATGAATCATTAATGGAATTAACTGGAGCTGTTAACGTCTTTACAATTACCATCCCTATTCTCAACTTTTGATTTCTATATGGAGCTCCGCTTTTGTAAACCCTTGCATTTTTCCTTTACATCCATGTGACACATCGTTCCCATTGGCAGTGTTTGCAGATGCAATATAAACTCCAGTGTGCTGTAATAGTGAGAATTAAAGGGGCAGCTGGCTGGGACAAAACACACACACACACACACACAAACCCAAACCAAAACCCAAACCCAAACCCATTGACAATTTGGGGCCCCAGCCGAAACTTGTAGGAAAAGAGTTACGGAACTACGAGTGTATGGAATGCAACAGGGCCACAGCATTTGTTTTTGTCTAGTCATTTATTTATTTATTTGCTGATTGTTTCCAGTGGGTCCTTGTGGCAGAGGCAGTCAAGAGTTTGTCCTTTTGGAGAGAGACAAAAAAGTGTTCAGCACATCCACTTGATGGCCCGCAGCTACTGACTCGCTCCCAAAAATCAGTACAGATGGTCTCTTTTTCCACTCCCTCTTTTTCTCTCCCTTGCTCTCGGTTTCTCCTCTGAACCACGCATTTGTTGGTGCTTTGCTTTCAAAAAAGAACTACAACGCACGACTTGGTTTCAGTTGTGGAAATGAAAGGCAATAGCTTCTGTTTGATGTTTTAGTACACTGGTGTACCGCCACATTAAACATAAAGAGAGAAAGAGAAGGAAGAAGGGGGGTAGCGG